TGAAGAGGGACAGGTCGAGGGGGTGTGTGCTGTGCATGTCTGTGCACACGCGTCTGGAAGGTGGCCTCTGCCACCAGACAGAGAGACGGGCATGTTCTGATGGCATTTTTTTAATTAAGTTTTTTTTACTAAATGCCATGTGCCACCCTTATTTGGACCCTGGAACAGAAATAGGAAATGAGTGGCATCTGAAAAAGTCTGGAGTGGGGTTACGAGTTATGTTGCAGTGTTGAGTTCATTTTGACAGCTCCCAAGGTAATAATGTGAGATGCTAAAATCAGGGGAGACTGCATGAGCGGTATAGCCATTTTCCACGTTACCGCTGCAACTTCCCTGTAGATCTAAAATTATTCCAAAATTTTAAAGTCTTTAAATTTTAATGAAACCCATCAGATTGAATCTGCAAAGTGTTTGTGTCTGAGAACGAACAGGTTTGGAAAGTTAAAGCTCCTTCCCTTCCCTCCTGTCGATTTAGGTCGAAGAATTCCATCCACTGACGCCAACCCGCCGTCTGGCGGGAAGGGCTTCAAACTCCGAAGACAGCCTTCAGAGCCGAAGCGGAGCTGCTGCTGACCGAGCCTCGGCCTCCAGGCTGATGATGAAGTAGGTGGTCCTGAAAGTTAGCAGGAGGGTGGGGCCCTGTCGCCAGGTGTCGCCTCGCCAGTCTTGGATCTTCTTCGGACAAAAAGGATTCCCAGATATTGGCCGGTTCTGTTTCCTCTTTGGAGACCGCAGCAATAATACTTCAGTCTGTGGACTTGGATCATGTAAAGACTCTCTGGTGTACAAAGGGACTGCTCCATCCTTGGCTTCTGACCTTGCTCAGAAGGAGTATATAATCTTATGGACGGTGGGCTTAAATTGTTGCATAGTTTTATAACCCAGATTTTATGTAACATTTGTAAAGGGAAGATTCGCACTTTGGTGGTTCTTGAGGGACAAAAGACCCTTGTGGAGATGACTGTTTCCTTGGTTTTCCGTGACCACTGTTGGAGGGAGCTGTGTCACTTAAGATGTGGGCACCATCAGCGGAGGGGTGGCAGTTACTATTAGCAGCTAAAGTGCGTTGTTTATAGTGCTGAGGAGATGGTTTCACCCCCACCGTCTCTAAAGCACTTTCCACTGATCGCATCCGCCCCGGACCCGCACAGGAAACGCACGGCAGCAAGTGCGCGGCTTGCCCTGGGTTTGCCGCCTGACACGGTCATGTGTGTGTCACCAGGCATGCGGCTGGCACCTTTTTAAAAATAAGCTCTCATGATCAAGATGGTGATGGTGGAGGAGCTGCCTGGAATAAGTGGAACCACATATGTTTAAGTTGACGAGCAATGGTTTAAAAAAAGAAGAAGAGGGAAGAGGAAGTGGTGTAAATGCTGTCCATTTTTATTTAACCGAAATATTTTGGTGGGGAAAACAATTACCTGTTGCTTAGCATATGTAAAGTTGTAGTCTGTATTTATGAGACCATTGCTTAAAGGTTATAAATTATGTAAATACATTAATAAATTCTATGTTTCATTCAACACTCCATTTAGTCTTGCACCCAGCCTCACGCATGCCCACCCGTTTCTCAGCCTGCCCACAGGAGGCTCTTGGAAGTGCCCGTGGCTTGCAGTCCCGCCTTCCCTTCCACCCCCTCCACACCCAGCTGGAAGTCCTTGGAAAGACAGATGCCACTATGACAAGCCAGACCAGCCCTCCCTAGCCTTGGGGTAAAAGATCAAGGTCATCATTTACCTGGTCTTGGTACTAAGTTTCTTTGAGCTTTTACAGCGACCTCAGACCAGCGGTTTTAAGGGAGCTTTCCTTGTTAACAATTCAGCGTGTCTTTCCCTTTCCCTTACTTCCCCGCCTCTGTTAGTGGTTAACATTCTTTTCCCTCAGGGAGCCTAATGAGGTTTTTAATATAATATAAAAATAAAGCACTGAAGTGAAGTTGGTGAAAATTTGTTCCTGGTCTAATCTGGCACCCTTCCAACCTGAGTGTTGTAAGAGAAGGAAATTTACAAGATTAAATAGGAAATGAAACAGCTTGAATTTTGAACTAAATTGTGTTTTCTGAGCTATCCTTAAACTGAACAGTCGAAACTTTAAAAAATAATGGTTATTTCTTTGTGCCCCCCACTTGATACGGATAGATTTTAATGGGAAAATTATAATCCAAATTAAGTAAGAAACGACTCCCTTTTCCTTGGTGTGTCTCTTAAGCATTTGGGATTGTTTATCCTCTTACTGAAATCATACAGAAGGAATATAGGTTGCGAAAATTCTGACATTGCTTTGTTTAAAATATATGTGGACTCTGTACTCCCCTGGCATCGTACTCCCTTCCCAGCGTGAAATCAGCGAGCTTTAAGAGGGGACACAGGATTCCCAGGGCTGGGCTCTTTACCCCTGAAGGTGGTTTAACTTTATTTCATGTACATCCAAATGGATCAGGGCATCAGACCACTGCCCTGGTTTGTCCCTAACGTTCCCACTGCTGGGCCTCTATCTCCATGACAACAAAATAAAAACAAAGGTTGCTGGACTCATTACCGAAGAGGCAGTGCTTGTGTGGCCCTTTCTGTCTTATTTCCCCAAAACATGACGCAAATCTGTGACCTTCACGTTTTTTCCATCAAACCTGTCAGTCAGTGTGGATGATTTCACGGTATCTGGGTGCACAGGGAAAGGCAGGGTGCTTCGCGCCTCATCTTATTGGTGCGGCCTCCGAATACCTCTGATCCCCTTGTGACATCTGCTGCCTGTGGCCCTGCACGGCCCGTCTCTCCACCCTCTGCAGCTGCTCTCTCTTCTGACTTCTCGCTCCCCTTCTCGGGTCCCCCCCACCCCCAGGGCCTCTTCTCCCTGGTTTCCTCCATCTGTCTCGGGAGCTGACATGGTCCTGTTTCTCATGTCGTTTCTGATGCTCAGCAGCAACTGCAGCTTGCTGTCTCAGATCCGTAATCCATACTCGAGAGAGCGGGGTGGGGGGGGTTGCTTTCCAGTGATTTTCTTTGCTTCTAAAATGCAAAGATGAATATTAAAGTCAGAAGCAGTGTTTTAAGCACATTTCGGATTATTAACCTGGTTGAACAGTGATCTGATACATATTTTATATATTCTTCATTCTTAGTTCTTATGAGAAAAGGCTAGATTTTAAAGGAATTGAGACATAGCCCATCCATAAAAATCTCCTTTTGGTTCTCTTACAACGCAGGGCCATTTTTTAAAACTTTGGGGACTAAAAAAGAGAAAGATCATTAATTAGCTGCAAGTGTATATTGATTCCTCTCAGAGAAATTGAAATGAGCTCTTTGCAGGTGTCCAATCCTAGTAACCATTGATCTCTAGAACTCTTCTTTCACACAAGGGTTTTTCTGATTCTGTGATAACTAATTAACTATCATTTGGTGATTAAAGAACTTAAAGTATGAGTATGATTAAGTGCCCTTCATCTTAAACTCTCTTTGAGAAGTGATTAGGGAGAAGTACCTATTGCAAGCCCTTCTGATTCCAGATGAAACCCCTGTCACCTGCTTTTCAGCCGTAGTCAGGATAAGTTCAACACACAGCAACTGAAAGATTTGGTTCCTTTAAAATAACACACTTCCTTGTCGCCTGTTTATGATTTTGTTTGAAGTGCCCGCCTCCCCTGACATATGCCCCTCCCAAATGCCTCCCCACATCCGAAAGGACTGAGCCTTTTGTACTGAAGGCTTCATCTCCTCCTCTCTGTGGGCTGGTGTCCTTCTTGAGGTCTTTTTTATTATTTTTAAGTATATAGAAAGGGAGAGAAAACCACACTTAATTTCAGGACTTCTCTTAAAGTTTTGTATTTCTTTCTTTTCTCAAGAAGGAAAAGAGGCCTAGGAGACCTCCTGAATTAAGCTCTGGGAGAGAGAGTAATGAAAATGTCCTTCGATGGGCAGCCCAGGGCTTTCCTGGAGTCACCAGGCCGGAACATCTGTGCCATTGCAGCGCTGCGTTAAGGTGGGGCAGGTGTGATGCAGTTACCCTGCACCAACTGGCATGTCAGCCTCAGAGCTCAAAAAGGCATCAGTTCATTGTTACACGCATCTTCTATAGTCTGAAATCAAGTTGCAAAAGAGGTTATATAAATTCTTATAAGCATTTTTTCACTCATTTTTTTTTCAGAATACACTAAGAATGTGATTCATGGCCCCTTGGTGCATAAGAATATGTGCACAGTATGTTTTGTGTGCGTCTCCCACACATTCTGGTGTCTTAGCAAGACCCTGTATAAGTCATGAGAGAATCCTTTCCTTCTGGGGAAAAGTTACTGGAATTCCCTTAACTCTGATCTGTACCAGGTTCCTGCTTTAGAACATCTGGGGGGAAATGACAGCCCACAAACTCAGGCTGGCTCTCCTCCCTAAACTCATTAGGCTGCAAATGTTCCTCCTGTCTCCGTAATGAAAGTTAAATGACAGTGATAAGCTAGTTGGTGGAAAGCTGTAAAACATCTTCGTTATTTGAATTTGTTTTAAAGGGACTAGCCGCATGACATCTGTTGACGGTGTGACTGCAAGAGGTAGTCTGCCTCTTAACAGTAATTTTTAAAGGAAGAAACGGAAGGTGCCTTCAAGGGTCAAGCTGTTACTATATACCTGCCCTCAATTAGCTTGGACCATCAAAACTGTTCAAATAATTCGAGGGAACATTTAAGGGATGTGTTTTAACTCCTGTGGTACTATGATAAAAAATAGTCTGGGGGGAGGGTATAACTCAGTGGTTAGAGCACATGCTTAGCTTGCACGAGGTCCTGGGTTCAACCCCCAGTACCTCCATTAAAATAACTAAATAAATAAACCTAATTACCTCCCCTTCCAAAAAAAAAAAATAGTCCAAGCAACAGATATATCCAGGAGATAAGCATTATACTGTGTAATTTTAGAGGAGGGACGTGGGGGTGCAATTTAGCCTCAGACTGAAAGAAACAACCTCTGGCAATTTCCCCTGACAGCAGAGTTACTTGTCTTGACTTCCAATAATACAAATCCAGGCAGTGTGATTATCTGATTTGCAAGAAACATTAATGGAATTCTGGGGCATTCATCCTGTTTTATATGCAAATGAAAGTGTAAAAAATATTAGGCAGGTATGACATTTTTCAGGAGCCTCCCCTTTTTCAGTCTAAGAGAATGAAAAGGGAGACAGACCTGTTGTGATCAAGTTTCATTAGACATAATGAAGAAAGTGAATGCGTAGAACCAGGAATCTCCATATGTCTCCGTTTGTCCTTCAGGATTCTCTTAGTCTATGGGAAAATGATTTACTCTCCAAATCTAGAAGGAAGGATTTCCAGTAGCATAAGGTCAGCTTAAATTTGATGGTCTGTCCCCTCAGAAAGAGCTAATATCTGTGTTCTTCCCTTTGAGAGTACAATCCATTATAGACATGCTAGAATAGTTTTAGCTTCAAAACAAATGGATTCAGACATTTAATAAAAAGGAAAATCTTAAATCATCCATCTTTTCCTTTCATTACCTGGAACATTTTAGATACATAGTAAGATTAGGATCTGTCATCAGCAGATAGCAGAATTACAACCATGGGGTGTTAACAAAAACTTGAACATTTATCGCCAGTTCATTTTCAGACCTGTGTGGTCCTGGTGTCCATTCCCTCATCAAATGCTTCATAATTGAAACAAACAAAATTCTGGGTAGCTTTCCATGAACAGGAATTCAGGTGCCAAGAATTCAGCCAAGTAATGGGAAATCCGGAGATAGTAATGATTTTTTGAAAGAGCCTTCCCTAGTTGGCAGTTTTAAACTGTAGCCCTCCGTGATCTCCTTAATTCTGCAAAAGAAACGAAACATGCTGGTTTTGATGCAACTTCTTGAGTCAGGAACTTTTCTGTGTTTCTGGAAGCGTATTGTTGAATGCAGTAGTTCAGAGGAAATCGTCTTCAAGATAGCATTTGACAGGAAGGGCTGATAATCTTCACTCAGAGTTGCACCTGTCCCGGAAACTCCCCTGTCTTAGGTCTTGTGGAGAAGCTGGGCCTCCCTTCTTCCCCGAGGCAAGCCCAGAGTCCGCTGAGCACCTGCGGGCGTGCGGCGAGTCCACTCCCACTTAGAACGTCGCCAGCCCCCAGCGGCATGTGGCTTCACCTTGAGGCTTAACCCTTCCTCAGTCTTCATTCATTTTTTCACTAACTTTGTCCTTGAATAATCAGTTTCACCCCCTGAAAAATGTCATAAGCAGGGCTTGAATTTGTGCACCTTCGCTTACTTTGCAAATGAGGTTATTACATAGTTTGTGGAACTTTTTCTTAATCCAGATCATGCATGTGATGTCGGAGTGACCGGCCCGTGCAGTGCGGGGAATGTTACCGGCAGCTGGCTCGTCAGAGCAACGGACGGGTGGCTCTGTTTTTAAACCATTTGTTGTATTGTGTAGACAGAGCTTTATTGCCCTGGAAGAGATTTTTTTTTTCGCTCTCATCCAGCTCACACTGTCATCTCTCTTTATGAGTCACTCACATAATTGTCAGGCATGCTTCTGACCTTCTTAAGAATTGACGTCTGGCCTTCTCAGTGATCAAAGCCGACCTCTTGCCTTACTTCCCGCTCCTCCTCACTTTGCGGCGGGCACTCCCTTAAAGACACACAGCACCAGCCGCCTCCTCGGCACAAGTGACATTCCTCCCCGTGCCACCTCACCTGGTGGCAGCAGTAGGGTTTGCCCACCACGTCCAGCAAGGGAGGCCCAAGACAACCAGTACTGTCAGAAAACACAAAGGCTAATTTTAGGTGAAGAATCCGGTATTTCCAGAGTGGGGACAGGCAGCAAGCACTAGCTTACAGCGGCAACCCAACTGCCTAACAACGTGGTTTTTACCAGTTGGTGATGAGACAGTTTTAGTATCAGAACTTCACTTCGTTTGTAGTAGAGCATTTGTTACAGTGTGCAAAATTCCAAGTCTAAAGTCTTAAAGAGAAACAGCTGAGATGAGCATAGACATTTCAAAAAAAAAAAAGCTAAGCTGTTGTATCAGCAGTTATTTCTACTAAGAATGTCATACCTTTTCAACACCTGATGCAAGGAGTATTTGTGCCTTTATATAATAGCGTCTATTATGAAAAAAAAATTAAGTTGCTTACAGTTTAGGCCAGCTTGTAGCACTATAAACAGCCCAGATTTATAGCCGTGGCTTCCCTGCATGAAGCGTCGCTTGATTACCTGTGGTGAAATATTGTAACGATGGTTTGCCAAGCTTATATGGATGTTTGAAGACCTTATTTTTGCAGTCTTAACCTTGGGCTGGACCTAAGTGTATATATAAACCATATGATGTCTGTACTGTTTGTAGATGCCGACGAAAGAAAACTAGATCTTTTGATTTTTGTTGTAAGATTTTTCTTTTTGTACTTAGGCTGGTAGTAGATAGTTTGCAAATGGTGTTCAATTTGGCATACTTTTAAACTATCTTGTTTTAGCTTGAATATCCAATACTAAACTTTTATAGAGTATGACGTGACAAGTCACTACAGCATTTGTTGTTACTGTAAGCAGGGTGTAAGCGTTTTGTTAATAAAATGCTATGTTTACAGATATATGTATTTGCCTTTCAATTGGTTTCTCTTTGTGAGTTTTCATCACACGTTTTTCTTAACCAAATATCCAAAAGTCATTTAAAGTGATATTTGAAAACCTCAGCGCCGGAACTTGGGTAGTTGGAGAGTCCGGTGAGCCCCGCAGTTTTCATGTCCATTGACCTGGTTCCCAGCTTCCTGCCTCTTTCTCTTAGACAGCTCCCTCCCCCGTCCGTGTCCTTCCAGAGTTAAGATGGGAACGATGCGGGAGGCCAGCCTGCAAAGCCTCCAAGGAGCATTTGGCGGGAATGTTGCTTCCCCCGTCGAATAAGGTAGGTGGGCAAAAAGCTTTATGGTGTCTTCTGTCATTGAGGGGATTTCATCGAAGGTGCCAGCATTTCATTTCCATTCTCGTGAGGACTTCAACCCCAGAGCCCCTGGCGCCATTGCTTCCCTGCAGAAGCCCACCTTCACAGGCTCGTCTTCCCTTTGCTGTCTCTCCGGGCGCATCTGTCCACGTGCTGTGGTCGTGTTGACAGGACAGATGTCTTCCAGCAGCGAACCAGACAGAGCGGAGAGGGCTTGAGGACAGGCTTGAGTTTGAGCTTCAGCTTAGCCCCTTTCTAGGCTGTGTGGCCCCAGACAGAGTTCTTCACCTCTGTAAGTTTTGTTGCCTTCATCTGTAAAATGGGACGATAACAGAGAGTCAGCCACATGTGGCTCTTTGGGGAGATGCCTGTATAAACCAGCTTTCAGCACAGCATCAACGAGAGTAAGTCCTCGCATGGAATCTGGTTTTGTTTTATAACATTTTCCACTTGTTTTTAACTTTTAATTATTTTTTTGGGGTTGTTTTGAGAGGGGTAATTAGGTTTTTATTTATTTATTTTTAATGGAGGTACTGGGTATTGAACCCAGGACCTTGTGCATGCTAAGCATGCGCTCTACCGCTGAGCTGGACCCTCCCCTGCAGGGCTTCATAATTGTTCCTGAGAGGGGGTCTGTTTCCGGTGCGCGTCTTGCAGACGGCGAGAGCTGTGTATGTGGGGGGGAGAAGGAGGCCGCTGCCAGGTGTTGGGCGCCCCAGACCCGGGGTCAACTCCCAGGCCCTCCATCTGGCTCCTGGAGAGGATAGACCAGAAAAGGCCATAAACCTGAAAAGTGAACCACAAGCTGGGGGGAAGCATTGGCCGCATCTCTGACAGAGAGGGCTGCCATCTGCCATCTATAGGAAGCAAAAACACAACCCTCCAAAAGGGAAACAGAAGGATCCACTCCATGAAAAGACAGTTCGCGAGAAAGAAAACACAGACAGCAGAGTAACAGCTACAAGAGGATAAGCCGCGCTGATGCACAGCCAGGCCAGTGAGCTGGTGTGTGGCCTGCGGGTGGGGGAGGCACACCCAGCCCTTTGGGTACTTGCACCTCCCTGCCTCCTTCATTCCATCTGAAAGCACCGCCCTCCGGAGACCCTGTAGAAAACCTCACACGTGAACATGAAGCCTTGGTTGTACCTTCTGGGAAAGGGGCACAAGGGAACCGAGCCGTCACGTCCGCAGTAACGTGGAGCACGCGCCCAGCGCACCGCGGAGTGAGAGATCCGGATGTGGGCAGAGGATGCCTCCATTTCTACAAAACAGAGTTTGCACAACCACTCGCTCGTACGTGCACCTGCTTTCGGAACCGGGACGTGCGCACTCTGAGCTGTTAGCAGCAGTTGTGGACCTCTAAGGAGAGATGCTCGCAGACAGAACTGTCGCCTTTTCTTCACTTTCCACTTTACCTGTACTTCTGTACTTTTAAAATTTTTTCACCGTGTGTAGGTGTGGATGTTCTCTTATTAAAAAGAAAAACTCAGGCACAAATGAATTTATTTATAAAACAGAGACAGAATCACAGACATAGAAAACAAACTTATGGTTCCCAAAGGGGAGGTGGCAGAGGGAAAAATTAGTCAAACTACTGTATATAAAATAGATTAACTGTAAGGTCCTACTGTATAGCACAGGGAGCTATATTCAGTAATTTATAATAACCTATAACGAGGGAGAATGTGAAAAAGAAATACATATACAACTGAATCTCTTTGTTGTACACCAGAAATTAACACAACATTGTAAATCAACTATACTTTAATTAAAAAAAAAACCAGGAACTCCCACACTCTCATCTTGTCTTCAGGTCCTTCACAAAAACTGGCTCAGTAGATGGACTGAAATTGCCTTTGTCTTATTTTCCCCTTTTAAAATACACACACACACCCTCCTTCAATTTGGCCAGTAAAAAGCTCAGAGCCAGATGTGGAGCAGGGGTATAGAAGATTACAGTCCACGTTTATTTT